TATTTTAGTTTTAGTTACAGTTGTAGTAATGTTGTAATTGTATTAGTTTTTATTATGTCTATATAGGTTTTTTTATTAAGTTTTAGTTTTATTTAATTTGAGTTATTTCAGTACTTCAACATACAAAATGGAAATTAAATAATATATATATATATTGAATGTATATATATTGAGTGTGTTTGGCTTAGTGTTATGTTAGAATCATTATTATACTCATACCTTTTGTTCTTTTCATATTTTGAATTGTTTTTAGCTTTATTTTTTTGTTTTCATTTAAATGTTTAGTTTTGAAATGTTGTCGTATGCATTTGTCATTTTTATTTAATTTCTTTTATTTTCTTAAATGTGTATATAAATATATAGTATTTATAGAATTTTAGCTTTTAGTTTTAATGACTTTTTCTTATTTGTAAGTCGCTTTGGATAAAAGCGTCTGCTAAATGACTAAAAGTAAAGTAAAAAGTATGTAGTGAAAATTAATTAATAAATTAGAAAGTAAACAAAAAGTATGTAAACGCAAGAGACTGTTAATCAATATACTCTTTTAAACTACGTTGACACAATGTTTATTGTAGAAAAGTCATGCAAATAATTTTGAATTAAAAAACGTTTCTCTTCATATTTATACATAATTAATTTTATTACATAAAAACTGTTTATTTGTTTATATGTTATTATTACTTTTATTTTATTTTTATTTGTAAAATATGATGGAAAATATAATTTACCATGTATTTATTTATTTATGAAATGATCAAACAATATAATAAAAACCAGTAGTCAAGTCAAGTCAAGTCAAGTCTGCTTTATTGTCAATTCTTCCACATGTACAGCACATACTGTGTACATGAAATTGCGTTACTCTCAGACCCTTGGGTGCATACAGATAACATAAATACAGATTAAATACAAAATACAAAATACAACTATACAAATATACAACAGACATTTATTTAATTTGTAATAAAAGCCAGTATAAAATCCGATTATTTAATTTGGCAAAAAAAGCATGCTGTCTTTATAGTATAATATACGTGAATATGCCTTTAGCTTCAAAAAGTTTGAAACCCCGGCTGTAAATATCCTTTAGATGTTTATGCTGTTGTGTGGTGTAGTTGCGTCACGTGGCGTAAGGGGGCGCTTCTCCGACACCTCAGTGATTCATTTGCTTCTGTTTTTCTAAACCGAGCTGCTTGACTTGAACGATGGTCACCGCGCTCTCACGAACTCGTGTAGGATTGATCAAAACAATGAGCAAAATGCTACTTTTACCGGTTTAACCTGCTGCCTTAATTTAATAAATGCAAGAGGTTAATTTTGAAGTTGAAACTCCGGTGAAGAATATAATGGGATTTACGAACAACAAGTTAATTCATTAATCACCGCTGTTCAAACTCTCCTGAGGTGAAGGAGATAACTTAGCTCTTTAACAGAAGATGTTATAATGGGGTGTTGTTTTTGTATGCTGCTCTTTTTACTACACTTCAGTGAGGGAATTCACGGTAAGTTTGTTTAATCATAATCGTGAGCGCAGTGCTTCATTAAACTCATCAGTGCTGAAGATGTGTTTCACGATAAACATCAGTTTAACAGTTACTATAAACTCAAGCAGAAAGTGTCATAACCCTCTTTTATAACCTTTCGCATAATAATTTCTCTTTATTGTTGTTGTTGTTGTTGTTTTTAGCCAACTTAAGCCTAAACGAATTTAAACTAAATCAGCGTCTCTGTTTTTTTGTGTGTGTGTTTTAAAAAAAAAAAAGTTTTTTAAGATTTTAACCACTGGATTATAGACAGAGCATGTATTTGAAAAAGTATCCAGAAAGAGACTACTTTGTTTAGTTAAATGAAAAAGGCACACTTTTGTTATGCATCATTATTTAACCAAATACAATTTTGGAGTTTAATTCTGCTAAAACAAACAGCCATTTAGAGTCTCTATTCTATTACAGCTGATAGATAGATAGAAAGATAGATAGATAGACACAGACAGATAGATAGACAGATAGAGACGGACGGACGGACGAATAGATAGATAGATAGATAGAGACAGACAGATAGATAGATAGATAGATACAGACAGACAGATAGAT